CTGGACAGCTGCTGTTTCTTCTTGGAATGCTGTAGAAATTCATATTAGTATTGATCATGTTCATAAGGGTTTGTTAACACAATATCATCTCTATTTTTGGTATTCCAATTATTTTCCATCGTAGAACAGCAATATTTAGAACTTTAGAGTACAGTACAGTTAGCCAGATTCAGTAAGACAAATACAAATGTTGTGAGAAAACACACAAACACATTTCAGCTTAACAACCACACCACTGAAACAATACCACTGACCCCATCTCAGAGCCAAAGTAGCTAATGTCCTATCCCTGAGCTAACACGCTAACCACCAGCTAATGTGTCAACCCCAATGTGCCGGGCTAAGCCCAAGCTAACGTGCTAACACGCTAATCGCGAAAGTACGCACTAGCTAACGTGCTAACACGCTAACCAGGAACATACACGCTAGCTAACGTGCTAACACGCTAACCGCGAACGTACACGCTAGCTAATGTGCAAACAGGCTAACCACGAATGTATGCACTAGCTAACGTGCTAACACGCTAACCGTGAACTAAAGCACTAACACGCTAACTAACACGCCAACAGTAACAGCTTTGCGCTAGTTTGCTAAAGGTACACAAAAACATAAAAATAACAAGTTAACGTAGCCAGCTAGCTAACATTACATCAAGATAATATATTTACAACAACAAAACTACTTCACCTCAGTGTTTCTAACACAGGTGGAGGTTTACATTACTTACCAATAACTTCCAACACTGTAGCACTGTAATGTAACATATACTGCAGAGACAGTTACCTTTTTAGCTGCCTGACAGAAAACAGGGAAAGAAAAGTCCACAACACAAGTTAGAAAAAGAAAGAACTTTTACATGAGACTACATCTAAACTTTGACAATCATGATGAAAAATGTTCAGAATAGTGTTAAACAGAACTATATCTTTACTTTTAAAAAACTGCTTTTGAACGGCTATAACTGTTCCACAAACTGATTTGACTCCAGTTGCCTTGTTTAAATTTAATTAATAATTCAACTATTTATTTGTTTATTTTCAGCTGAAAATATGTATTGAAACCTACACAAAATCAAATTTATTTTCAAATTTATTTCATTTACACTTTCTCTGTCTCTCTCTCTCTTTCTCTCTGTCTCTCTCTTTCTGCTTGGCTCTTTTGCATCTCTGTCCTTACCGATTAGTGTAAAAGCACACATTAAACACGTTATAAAAGGCTGTCTGTACTAAACCCCAGCTAAAGGGAAAGACAGCTGCTCATACAGTTAATGAGACAAGATACAGCTTAACGTACCTGCCGACTTCTTAATAATGTCAGCTACATGATACTATACCATCCACATGCTGGTTAACAGTGAACTTTCTCATGTCAGTTGTAGTACGTTATGTGTGGATATCAAAATACAGCTTTAATTTCTCATCTAAACACTAATAAAGCCAACTATGGATCTAGACTAAAGCATGCTGGTTTAGCTAGCAACGTTGTGAGTGCTCAGAGCGGGCAGTTAAGTCTAGGGCTGAACCACAGCTCTTCTGAGGTCAGCTAAGAACCTCTCACTGCTCGCTGTGTAGTTCCATCACTTTTTCCACACTGAATCTCATAAAACCCTTTAGAAACTTATGAGGAGCCACAAACATGACGGGCGCTGGTAACGCACTAAAGCAATTGCAGATAGCAATGGTTGCTGAGCAGTGATTCTAAGCAGAGCTTGGCAGATTTTGATTGGCCATAATACAGTGACAGCGCTCACAGAAAACAAATCAAATTTCATGAACCCAGAAATGCGGCATAATAAATATTCTGTCCCCATTTGATTGGGTGGCCTGTGAAACTGTGGCTGCACCCTTGAATAGACTGTACTATCATAATGGTGCTGTTTCTACATTTAGTTTCACGACTGGAGGACAGTAAAAAAACCTTTCAGAACCTACCGAGGTCCGGACATAGGTAGGTACGGCCATGCCGCATTTGTATTAGTAATTTTTTATAAAGTAGTAAAGTAAAAGTTAATACAATAGGCCCTTTTCATATGTCTGCATTTTTTCGGCTAGAAAGTCTCGTTGCAGAGTAATGCTGTGTCTGCTAAAGCAATGACAGTAACAATGATGATGAGTAGAATGTGTACAGCTCACTCAAGTGGTCGCGTTTGAAGCAAAAACAACCTTATCTCAGTTTCAGTGGTTTGTCAGCTGATGATGAGGAAAGGAAAATGAGTTTGTGCAATTAATAAAGGAATAAACTTTGTCTTATGGAGGAAAAGAACCTCTGTGTCAGCATTACACTGAATGTAGTTCATGCTTTAAAGTTGCTGCTGCAGCCACTTTCAGAGGAACAGTTTTACATTTTTCCAATGAAAGCCATCAGCACCTGAGAGAGTGAGTGCTCAGCGGGGAGCAGATGTTCGTTCACTGGAGCTGGTGTATGTGTAAAATGCCTACAGTGGCGCTACAGACCCTGACGACTCGACACGCGCCCTGCACGCATATGTGTGTCTTTAGCTTTTGCCAACTAGTTTATTGTTAGCAAGCTCTTTCAGCATTTACAGCTAACATGGCTTATCTGGTATTTTGGTTATAGTTATTTTCACCTTCATCAATTTATCATTCTGTAGACGTTAGCGTCACTGTACTCTGATTGCTGTGAAGGAATTTCTCCACAAAGCATTTAGTTATTTTCTTTATTTAATTTGGACTCCCACATTGTTGTGTGTTTGGTTCTCCAACCATTCTGGACAGATGCTCGATTTTCAATCTATTACAAAGATAAAGTGAGGCACGTTCAGTAAGTAAGTAAGTAAGTAATTTTTCATAAAGCACAGTTTAACCCTGTGCTATATGAGGAGAACACATTTAAAAGGACAATGCAGGAAAATCTCTAATGTACAACAAAACAAAAATACAACAATGATTAGTTTACAGAGACAAAAGCTGATTAATAAAAAGAGGTCTTTAATCTAGACTTAAAAGCATCAGTAGAAGGTGCAAACCTAATGTCCAGAGGTAGACTGTTCCGCAGTCTCGCACAGCTACAGCAAAGGCCTGGTCACCCTTGAGTTTCAGCCGAGATCATGGCACAGTCAGTAGCAGCTGATTTGATGACTTCAAGGACCTGGAAGCAGGATGAAGTTGAAGCAAACCAAATAGGATGGTGCCACTCCATTAAATGAGTTTAAAACAAATAGAAGAATTTCAGATTGGATCCTGTAGTATACAGGAAGCCAGTGTAAGGATGCCAAAATGGCAGTAATTTGGTCCCATTTTTGTGCATGTGAGATGGCGAGCTGCAGCATTTTGGATTAACTGCAAACAAGCTTTTTATGACTTTAGGACAGACACCCAAATACAAGCTGTTGCAGTAGTCTAAGCATGGATAACCTTTTCCAGGTCTTGGGGTGACAGGAATGCCTTAAACTTGGCGGCTGATCTCAGTTGGTAAAAGGAGATCCTAACAGTTAATTTGTTTGCTAAACCTGAGGTCAGGATCAAATTTCTGTGGTGAGCTGAAGTGATATGAACACCTGCATTTCTGAGGTTAGTAACTGTCCGTTAAGCAATAGCAGAACTTTTTTTACCCAGCATTAACGCACTTCCGTTTCTTGTGAAAATGGCCTATTATTATGTTTTATAGTGTGGAGTACAGGACTTGGAACTGGGTTTTTCCGTCTACGTATAACTGGGTGAAAGGTGACCATTCAAGAACCTTCAGAGCTTTTAGCCTGATAGAGTGACTCTAGCTGATGTTATTAAGAGGGACACCACCTTGGTTATATCAATGATACTATGTTCAGTTTTGCTTCTGAGCCCATCTAGGTCTGCAAAATAGCAGTTTTGATTTGTAACAATTAATCAGAAATTGTATATGTACATTGTCTATTTTCTCCACTACTTTTTCTCTCTCACTCTCTGTCCTTTTCGCCTGCTGATTTTCTTTAAGCTTTTGCCTTAATTAAGCCTTTGGATGTGAGGTTATGTGTGTTTGTGTGGACGGGATAACCTGTTGAGATTATTTTTATCCATTTTTATCCGTTATTTGAATCATGTATTTTTCTTGTTCCTGTAGTCCTAATTCTTGTGAATACATTTGATAATGTTTTACTTTTAAAATTCAATGTGTTGTGTTCCTTTTTTTAGTTTAATTGTCTAAAATGTTAGATGATGCCACTTCTGCCACAAGTCAGTTTGTGAAATTTGTCCTGCTAGATGTGATCCAATCAATTCTGTGTTATTATTGTAAAATGAAAGTGTCTAAGAACAGCCACAAAGCGGTAGAGCATGCAAACTCACAGAGCAGGGTTGCAGAGTGCTTAAGCACACACTGCCTATCCTCTGTTGCATCCCTCATCACAGAGTTCTAACCTGCCTCTGAAAGCAACCTCAGAAAAAGAATCACACATTAAGAGATTTACGAAATGGATTTCCATCGCTGAGCAGCTGAACACAAGCCTAAGATCACCAAGCGCAATGCCAAGCATTGTGTTCGCTGGAGTGATAAATCAAGCTTCACTATCTGGCAGTCTGATAGATGAATCTGGGTTTGGCGGACGCCAGGAGAATGTTACCCAACAACAATAACAATACCCAATGCATAATGCCAACAATAAAGTTTTAGACAATTATATGCTTCCAACTTTGTGGCAGCCGTTTAGAGAAGACCTGACTCCCTATATGCATGACTGTGCTCCTGTGCACATGAAGACATGGTTTGATGAATTTGGAACTCCATTGTCCTGCACAGAGCACTGAACTGAACCCCAATGAACACCTTTGGTATTCACTGGAAGGTCAATTGTGAGCCAGAACATCAGTGTCTGATCTCACAAATGCTCTCTTTTCTGAATGGGCACAAATTCTTAAAGACACACCCAAAATCTTGTGGAAAGCTTCTGATGGAATAAATTAAGAATATTCCTAATGTATGGTTAAAGAGAACATCATTCTCTTGTCATTAAGAGATATACATAGGAAAGTACCAAACGTTCTGTGTGGAAAGTACCAGAAAACTCTAAGCAGAGGCCTGTAAGGGAACTTTTGAAACTTAAGCATAAGTAGGCCAGTTGTATAAGTGTTATATAAAGTGGTTGTGTAAGGACCTGGTAGTGTTAGATGGCACTAGATACGATAGAAGACAAGTTTCTTTTTAACTAAACCCAGCAGCTAAAGTCTTTTTTGAGGATCCAAAATAGAATAATTATTAGGTGCAGGTAATTATAAGAGCTTGAAACAAAATTCAGTGTCCACCCTGAGTGGTAGAGATCACTTGGGGCATGATACTTCCCAGAAGAGTGGAAGATGCCTTCATTGCTTTCATTGCTTCCATTGCTGTTTAAATTGCCATTTCCACTTTGACTGTTTCAGCCAAACACTATTTGTAAAGTCTTCAAGTTTGTTGAGTTGCTTTTGTTTTCCATGCAATTTGGTTTTGATTCATATGATCCTCTTCTGCTTTATATTCAGTTTTTTTTTTTTTTCTCAGTTTAATTGTTGCCAATTCCCTTTTGCCAACTAGGCCTCCCCCAGCTGAGAGGGTTAAAGGCCAGTTATGCTCTCTTGGGCTCCTGAACCTATGGAAGCATAGCCTGGGATCAAACTTGTGATCTCTGGACGATAGGGCCAGTGCTACATTCTTTGATTTTCTATCTAGTTTTGCCCTTTTTGGGGCATATTGAGCTCTTTGGTCTCTCTTGAGCCTTTTGTAATTAATTAATAGATCAAGTGACCCTTATTAGTCCCACAACAGGGAAATTTCACCTCTGCAATCTAACCCGTCCGTGCAGTGAAACACTACATGTACACTAGTCAAGACACACACTAAGGGCAGTGAGCACATTTGCCCGGAGCAGTGGGCAGCACTATCCGCAGCGCCCAGGGAGCAGTTGGGGGTTAGGTGCCTTGCTCAAGGGCATCTCAGTCACAGACTGTGGGGATTGAACCCATAATGTGACCTTTTTCTCCAGTAGAACCTGACACTATCACTTCTGGCCACCAAATTACCAACATTATCTGGGAGAAAACAGGAAAAATGTACTTGCAATAACAATATGCCAGTGTTATACTGTTGCACTTGCAGCTGCCCAAAAACAGAGCATAAAAGAGCATGACATGAAGTAATAAGAAAAAAGTCGTTACATTGGACACCACACTAACCACAAGATAAGAAGGATGTTTTAGATTAACCATTTTTAAGAAGCAGAATCAGATAATACCAGTTTCCTCAGTGTTACTGATTCTTAGCAACTTAATCTCATTTGTCTCAGTTTGTCACAGATACCTACAAACATTCCAATTTTTATATAGTAATTTTAAAAGACCCTCAATGCTCTAAAACATGATTTGTAAATAAAGCAATTCATCCTATGCTTAAGGCAGCTTCTTTTTTGATTTCTTCATGTGTCTACACATCCTTTCAGACCCATAGGATTGAGTTGTTTTCTCACAGTGGAAGGATGGACACAAACACCTTTTGAAGCAAGAGTAAAGCTTGATTTTCTCCTCTCACTCAAAGATGAAAACTTTAAGTGCTATTTAGCTGATGGGGACTGTGTGGAGGTCTACCAGGTCTCACACACTTCTTAGGAGTCACATTTTCTCTCTCTGACTTTTACACACTAGATACTTCAAGCAACTCAATGGCTAAGACCACTGTAACGTTTATAACTTGATTAGGGTCAAGGAAGCTGATGAATGCAAGGCCATTTTCTTTATGATAGATGGCCATTATGAGTATGTTGTGATGCTATTTGGGTTCTGTAATGTCCCTTCTTTCTTCCAAGGGATCTTCAGTGAGGTTTACAAAGTAAATCATCTGAGCTGGTTTTGGATCCCTATCACATACGTGTTGTTTATTCATGGCTTTAAAAATGGATTATGTTAGATTCTAAAACTGTTATAAAATTTGAAACAGAACACAAGCTGTTTGAAAATATTTTTGTGCTCAAAAATCTCTAAAGAACCATATAAAATCTTTTTTCTTTATTTCATTTTTTTTAAATTTCAGTTTACAGTCTGTCTTGGAACACTGAGACAGAACCGCCCCTACGCCGACATCATAGGCATCTACCTTGCCTAGAAATGGTAGAGTGGAGTTGGTGAGCCACAGGATTGGAGCAGAGTTCAGGGGATGCATTAGCTCTTCAAAAACTTTCTGGACTTCCAGGGTCTACTGAAACCACCCTGTACCCTTCTTTGTGAGGGCAGTCAATGGAGTAGAGAGAGGTGCAGTGCAGCCATTTCACAATGGTTATTTTTTGAGACTTGGTGATTCATGCAGGGATGAATGACTGCCATCTTTCTTCCCCACAAAGAAAAACCCAGGCCCAGCTGGTGAGGTGGAAGGCTGGAAAACTAGAAAACCCAGTGCCAGTAATAGATAAACACTAATGTGTTCATCTGTGTTTTCTCAAGACCCAAAAGAGAGAATAGCCTCCCTCGAGAAGCGTTGATTCCCAGAAAAAGGTCAATACTACAGTCATAAGACCTATGCAGAGGGAGGATTTGGACGAAGCATTTGCTAAAGATCTCCAATAGATCATGGCAGTCAGCTGGGACTCAAAATAGATCAGGGCTGACCAAAGGAGCACTGATCTGGTTGGAGGCCACAGTGGGTTTCTCAATGCAGGATCTTTTACATTGACACCCCTAACCTGTAACAGACCTGGTCAGCCAATTCAGCCATGGACTGTGACCAATGAAATCCAAGCTTTAGCTGCAACTTGGGAGCCTGGGTGAGCAGATACAAAATTTGCTTTGTGTGTTGACCTAGTCATAAGGTAAGGAGCCAGGTCTGCTGGTTGACCTGCCCCAACCCAAGAAGGTGACTGTCAATGGCTGAAACCAGTACACTGACCTCAAAACGGACTAAGTGAGCTGTATGTGGTGAGCAGATTATGTTTGATGGTGTCAATAATGCAGAGAGATGCAGCAGAGTGACAGATGAAGCCATATTATAAAGTCAGATGAAACAATTAAAGTTGCTTCATTGCTTCAGAACATCTGAATGGACCAAAATGTTAAAATGGATCAAATCAATTTTTCTCAGCAATTTACAAAAATATTATGCAATGCAAAATATTTTATTTCAATTAAGTTTTCAGACTCTTTGCAATCTCATTTTCACTCATCATGCTTGAGATGCATGATACTTCTGGCAAATTACCTTGTGGTAAATTCAGTTGATCAGACATCTTTAGATTTCTGAGACAGGATTGTGGTTGTTGGTTGTGGGGAAGGGTACCAAAACATTTCTGCAAGCCGCAAAGGACCCAGCTGCCTCCATCATTCTCATCATCAGTCATCAAGCTTTATGGTACATTTTACAGATGGAGTTTAACCCTGAATAGAAAGCATATGACAGCTTACTTGGATTTGCCAAACAGCACCCAAAGACTTTCAGACCAAGAGGAACAAGATTTTAGTGCCTTATGTAATACATTTGAACTCACTGGCCAATTTTTAAATAAACCCAAGCACTGCTTATAACCTAGACACTGTATAGCTGTTTATTGAGCTCCTCAGATGAACACACTGTGCACTGATTTTAAAATAGTAAATAAAAATACAATTAATGCTGTTTCTTTTTAAGATTGATGCTAGAGGCCAGTTCTCTCAGTCCAAGCCCAAAGGACCATCTGGAACATAACTATAAAGCTTTTTGTTGCTTTTCCATCTAATGTTGGCAATTTGGTTTGTCTCAAGATGCTGTAAAACTCTAGAACCCTTCTGGTGTGATAAAATAAGGTGGCTAAGTTTATCACTGTTGTATGCCCTGTTCCATGGCATGTTTATACTTCTACACTTGATTGTTTTACTTGATTCTGTTACCAAAACTTTTCGTGAAATTGTGACATTGTGGTTTTTCCTATGAATGCTATTTTAATCTACATTTAACTGCTTGGTTACAAACCTTAGCAGGTCAAGAGGAAGATCACACATTCTGGGGAAAGGGTCCATGATGTTGTTTTATGGTTGGGCTGGGCATAAAACAGCCCCTTCATTATAGCATTAAACCTTCAGGGTGTTTGTGTGTGTGTGTGTGTGGGGGGGGGGGTTCCTATTTTTATGACCTGGATCAGCTTGGCTACCCTCTGGCCAGCTGTCTTGCGTAGTCTTGAGTCTTTAGTAGAGAATTTTAGTTAAGTCTTGTTATTAGCTGCAAGTATTGCATGGTACAAATGTAAACCAATAGACACTTGCAGGCTTTTTTTACTGGTCTGGTCCACTGTTTACTCATTTTATGAGATGATATGGATAAAAAGAATCCGCCCTTTATGGTGAGATGTTCATGGTGAGCAGAATCTGTTTACCAGCATCATTAGCTTGTGGTAGATAAAGTCAGATAAAGTCTGAATAAAAACCAGAGCTGAAAATGCAGACACAGTTCATCATTTACACACACACACACACACACAAACAGACACACACAGACAGACAGACAGAGCTTCAGGGCTGCAGAACATCACACACAGGTAAGAGCTGAAACACACACACCAGTCGACATTTATAAAATCAGACTAATGTAACACACCACCACCACGTCAGTGTTACTGCAGTGCTGAGAATGATCCACCACCCAAATAGTACCTGCTCTGTGAGGGTCCATGGGGGCCCTGACCACTGAAGAACAGGGTAAAAGGGGGCTAACAAAGTATGCAGAGAAAAAGATGGACTACAGTCTGTAACTGTAGAACTACAAAGTGCACCTATATAGTAAGTGGAGCTGATCAAATGGACAATGAGCGTAGAAACAAGGAGGTGGCCATAATGTTATGTCTGATATGTCTATATATATATATATATATATATATATATATATATATATATACATATATATATGATACACTGAACATAGGAGAAGGAAACACATTAAATATACAGAGAATATAATTAATTTAAATAGAAATAAACCTCTTCTAGCATTCGTTCACACTTACTCTGTGCAGAATGAGGGTTTTGCTCGTTCTCACCGCTTTTGTGGTGGTGGCCGCTGCTGCCAGTGTCTCTCTGGAGGATCTGGAGTTCCACACCTGGAAACTGAAGTATGGTGAGTATGTACAGTTGCGTGTAAAAGTCTGTGCACCCATCGCCAAATAATGTGTTGATCTCATTACATAAATTTTCATTATAAGGTTATAAGGTATAAGGTTTTGTCTGTTATGTATATATTCATTTATGATGGACTGAGGTGAATTTGAAGAAAAAAAGAGGAGAGGGATCATCCGGCTTGTTATCAGCACACAGTTTCAAAGCCAGCATCTGTGATGGTATAGGGGTGCATTAGTGCACATGGTATGGGTGATTTGCACATCTGTGAAGACACCATTAATGCTGAATGAAATATACAAATTTTAGAGCAAAATATGCTGCCAACCAGACGTGTTTTTCAGGAAAGACCTTGATTATTACAGCAAGACAATGTCAAACCACATTCTGCACGTATTACAACAGCATGGCTCTATAGTATAAGAGTCCAGGTGCTAAACAATTTAACATACAAACAATTTGTAATGTTATCAAGTGAGCTCCAGTTTTCTTAGTGTCCACAGAAATGAGTTTCAGTGTGAGTTTGATGTGGTTTCAGAAAGTCAAAACTTTCTTGAAATGTTCTGGCGTGAAGAGTTTTAAGCACCTGCGAATGGTTTCCTTACTTGTAATGGTATGTTTTGTTGCAGTTTATGCTACTAGCAGCTAACCATTTCTTACTGAGTTTGCAGTCTTTTCATTAATACCAACTTTGCTTCCTGAAATTTCAGCATATTGACTAAAACAGAATGCAAAACCCAGTAACAGTTTGCTATTATCTGGAAAGGCTTTTCAGTAAATACTGGAATATGTTTGAGAGGATTTGCTTCCATTCAGCCACAAGAGCATGTGAGCATCACTAATCTTACTAATCTTACAAATGTTGATGATAAAGCCTGGCTCACTTTGGTGTTCCATTTTATCCCAAAGGTGTTGCATGGGGGTTAAGGTGTAGTTCTTCCACACCAAAAATACCAAATTATTTCTTTTTAGAACTTACTTTGTCTCCTGCTGAAACAGGAAAAGGATCTTTCCCAAAATGGTCAACAAAGGTGGAAGCACATAATTCTCTAGATAGTTATAGCACACCATAGCATTAAGATTTCAGCAGAACTAAGTGGCCTGAAACCAAGAAAAACTGCCCCAGCCCATTACCCCTCCACCACCAAACGTCTGTATTTTGGCAAGTAGCATTCTCCTGAATTCTTCAAACTCATTTCAGATTGCCAGACGAAGAATGATTTCTTGCTCCAGAGAATGCAGTTTCACTGCTCCACAGCCCAGTGCTGAAGGACGTTATACCTCTCTAGTTAAAGTCAGAGTGACCCTATCTATTGATCATTGTTTTTCTTCTGCAATTATACAAGCTGTGAGTGCACAACTGAAAGCCTATGTCAGCAGTGGGTCCACCTTAAAGTAGCTTTACTTGAAAATCACTCAATAAAACATTAAATACTTGATGTTATGTACTTTATTAGTCCTTCAAGGGAAATTCATCATTTTGCTGCCTCACTTTACCAAATGTGGGGGCAGCACAGTGTTGCCAGCAGAGCAGCACCACCTGGGGCAGTTGTTAAAGTTACTAAATTGGACGGTAATTTATTTTTTTATGTTCTGAAGCCTTAGAAATTAGAAACATGTTTTTTAAGTATATGTATCTGTTTCCTCAAAGGTAAGAGTTATGGTTCAGTGGAAGAAGAGTCTCGGCGTAAGATGATCTGGCTGGACAATCGTAAGCTGGTCCAGGAGCACAACGTGCTTGCAGACCAGGGCATCAAAAGCTATAGACTTGGCCTAAACCACTTTGCAGACATGGTGAGAACTTCCATACACACAAACCCACTCAAATGTCTTTAATTTATTTTCACAATTTAATAAAGAGTAGTTGTTTGTAATTCTGTTATTTATTATGAATTTTCAAGTAATTATTATTGACATTTGCTAAGGCCATTAAACCTCCCACCGTCTCCCTCTCCAACAGGACGACCAGGAGTTCCAGGCCAGGTTCAGCAGCTGCCTGAGATCCTTTAACATGACCAAAGCCCGCAGTGCACCTGCACAAATTAGACAGGCAAGGGACGCTGATCTACCAAAATATGTAGACTGGAGAAATATGGGCTACGTGACTGAAGTTAAACACCAAAAACCTTTGAACTCCTGCTGGGCCTTCAGCGCGGTGAGTTACAGAAGCACAGACACAGAAAAAACAAATGGATGGAAAAATAACTTGAAAACTTGTAATAAGAAGAAAAGAGAACAGAACAAATAAGTGCTCACACTGGGCTGGGTTTTTGTAAGCTTGTAATTACTGGCATTTGCCCCGACAGGGGGCATTGTGCATTCTCCAGTTCAGTTACTTAATGCACTCATGTTCCGCTGTGTGCTGAGTCATTTAGCTCCCGTTTGTAGTCTCCTTACTATTTACAGCCAGTGCTACAATATATTTCCACAACTCTCTGTATTGAAAATATGTGTCTTGTATGAACATAGAAATATGCTGAAGGAAGCAAATACATTGCATAAATGTAGATGTCTAAATGTAGATTAGCTTGTAATGCCCCTTTATTCAAACAGCTTATTGCTGAGCATAGACTGTAAATTCTCAATGTATGTTTATATTAACTCGACGGTCTATAAATACATTTACATATTAACCATTGCAAGCAAATTTGTTTTTGTTAGTAAAGACTTATTACAGTAAGTTGTTTTAGAATATGTGCTAGGTATTAACACTATGCACATTGTTGTGTTTTGTCTCATGGAGCACACCTAATACAACTCATTTACTCATTACCAAGCACCTGCACATTTGCAAACGGACAGCAGCACTGGCATATAAAAGCAATAACCCATTAGAGCTCATGTGTTACAGTGATTGTACTGTGGTTAAAGAGTGATGCTAGGTTAAACCATTGGTGAAATCATTGTAACACACAGCTTCAAGTGACTAACTGCTTTTAAAAAACAGCAACAAACAATATAATATATACTATAATAAAATACAACATAAAATAAAAATCATTCAGATTCATTAATCATTTAGATTAAAGGATTTCATGGACAATGGTAACTGTTTCATGTTTTTTAATAGCTTGGTTCTTTTGGAGTATTTTACAATGGCTTCAAATGTGACTCAGCAAATCAGATCTGTTATACAACAAATATGCATCATTTAACAACACTACCCATAATTCAGTAGCCATGTTTCCATGCAGCCTAATAATCCATTAATTATCTGACTAATAGCTCAATCGGAACAAAATACGTCCATGTATAGACTAGTCCAATTGAGGCCATTCAGAATATAATTTCTATTCAATTGAACGAGGTGGGTAATCCTGTGAATAATATTTTAAATAAAAGAATAATAGCCGTGTAAAAGCCTGTATCTGATTACATTCCCAATCGGAAAGTTTAAGTACAGTCTGCACATGTGTGTCGCATCATAGCAAGTTTATAACGTTCAACATTGTGGGAGCAGAAATTGGTCTGCAGAAGAGAAGAAGTTTATGCTTTGATCTTTAAAAGAGCTTATGTGTCTCAGAACACGTCTTCCTCTCAGCCTTCTTTAATAACAACATATAAAGTACGTTTTCCTGTCTGACATCATTTTAAAGTAATTTTAAACACAAGCAGTGTTCACTGCTGCTCATCTCACTCTGACTGGACTCACATGATACTCGTTGTCATGGTAACGTCTACACTAAGTGGTCCTCTATGCATGTGTGTAATTTTGGATCTTATTACTTGTAGTGTGCATGTAAATGGAGATTTAGAGTAGAGTGAGTTAGAGTGAGCATATAAACACCTCAGTTTGAATTTATAATCGGAATGTATTCAAATTGGCAAAAATCTTTGCATCTAAACAGAGCCAGTGTTATGTTGGTGGAGTCTGAGTTCTAAATGAGTCATGGTCAGAGTCTAAAGAAACTTAATCAGGTGTCAAGAGTCACCACTGTCGGGAAAATGCATATAACAGCCCTGGGAACCATTTAGCACTACAGCAGTGCTGTTGGGGTTTCTAGAAACGTCATACTAGGCCAAGAGTGGCTCTGTGGTCAGAAACCAACCACTGTTAAAGGGCTAGAAAGAGAAACACAAGATTTTGATCAAAAAATGGGCTACGTTCTCTAGGAGTTACACACAATTTAGAAAGTTGTTTTGCCAGCTTTTAGTTTTTTTTTTTTACATCATGTGTCTGTATGCATCCCTCTCTCTCTCAGACGGGGGCGCTAGAGGGTCAGATGTTTCGGAAAACGAGGAGGCTGGTACCCTTGAGCGAGCAGCAGCTGGTCGACTGCTCTCAGGATTTTGGAAACAGTGGCTATCAAGGCGGTAGGCCAGACTGGGCCTTTAAGTACATCATGTCCAGAGGAGGCCTGCAGGCAGAGACAACCTATCCATACGAGGCCGAGGTGACACTAATGACAAGTGGAGCTTCTGAGATGGACAATTTTCCCCTGATCACAAATGTAGTTTTTCAGCCAACTGATTGGTGTCTGAAGTTTCGTTCTTTAATTTTGCTAATGTAGCTAAAAAGAACTGATACTAATTGCATGCAGTTCATCACACACTAGCATCACAAATATTCAAAAGTATGTCAGCATAGCTAAAACAGTAGCGGCATCCTGAAGCAGCATTTCAAAGCTTAAATTTTTTCTGTAATTGTAATTATTCCTTTTTTCAGCATTAGGGAAAAAAGAAAAAAAATATATTTAACAGACAATTACACAGAAACCCCAACAAACAAAATATATTTTTCTTTTACATTGTCTTTTACTAGTGTCTACTTCATAATAAAAATACTGAGACTCACTTTCAGCTCTGAAGATATATTTTTCCACACCGTCAAAGTTCAGTCGGTTGCTTTTCTGCCTTTTGTTTGACTTGTCAAGAAACATCCCTGCTTGTTAGCTACATTAGCTGTGTAGCTCCAGCGCAAAACTAAAGAAGCAAAGCATATCTTGGCTACATTTGGGGTCTTTAAGCCAGGAGGCTAGCCATCCATTAACTCATCCTGATTGTTTCCCTCTCTCTCCAGGTTGAGTGGTGCCGGTTTAATCCATGGTATGTTGTGGCTACCTGCAGTGGCTACACGTCCTTGCCCAGGGGAGATGAGAACGAACTGCAGCGTGTTATAGCTGAAATTGGACCCATTTCTGTAGCCATAGATGCGTCCAGACACTCCTTTAGGTTATATGAATCAGGTAACCCTTAAAAACAAACCTTCATTCCTCATCAGAGGTTAAACTGGGATTTTGAGAGGTTTTTCCATGGATTTTCCATGGATTTCATCAATGTGGAAACAATTTTGTTCAGTGTATGTGTTATATGGAGTTCTCACAATAATATAAAAATGTGATTAAAACTAATAGCCTAAAATTAATAACTAATCTTTTTCTGTTTTACTATTACTTGCTTGTTTATTTTGAAACCAAAATTATATCAAAATATCTGACAAAGCTGAAACTCATATTATTGCCTTTACACTGGGAAAATAAACTAGTATATTGTGTGCTTTATATGCCATTTTGCTGCTTAACTATGCCCAACCTGGGGGCAGCACAGAAATGCCAGGGGCGGTGGGGAGTTAAGTGCCTTGCCCAAGGGCCCAACCAGGTGTACCTATTCAGTCATGGGATTTGAACTCAAAACCTTCCAGTTGCTGACCTCGCCTACCACTAGGCCTACTCCCTGTTTCTGCACGTCACACATCTGTTTTCTGTGCCACCTTTAGCAGTCAAACTGGTATTTTGCTGGAGTCCCAGAGTCTCAGAAATGGCTTTGTAACTCTTTCCAGACTTTTATATTTCAATAAATGTCTTTCTCATTTCTTGTGGAATTTGAGACCTTTTAGCCTACTATTTCTGGAAGGGTTTTAGATAAGATAAGACAAGATAAGATAATCCTTTATTAATCCCACAACGGGTATGTATATGTACAAAAATTACAAGAAAAATATACAAAGTATTAAATTTAAATTTAGAAATGTATGTATTGTAGTGAGTATTGCACAGTGAATAAAATAGCAAATAAATAAACAGTAAATAAATGTAGAAATATTGAACTTGACATAATTGCACATAATGGTGGTAAACATATTGACAGTGATCCGCAGTGAATATACTACGCATGGTGGATTGAGATATTGCACACAGTAAAGTGCTGTGGCAGTGATGTTGAGAGTTCTTGCACATGGAAAGTAATTGTAAACTACTGTCTACTGAGTGCCGTGACTGTTATAGAGTCTGACAGCGGCTGGGAGGAAGGACCTGCGGTATCTCTCCTTCACGCACCGCGGGTGCCACAGCCGGGCACTGAAGGAGCTGCTCAGTGCTGTCAGAGAGCGGTGCATGGGGTGGGACAGGTTCTTCAGCATGTTTGTTAGTTTAGTCCTCATTCTCCTGTCCCCCACCACCTCCACTGGGTCAAGAGGACATCCCAGGACAGAGCTGGACTTCCTGATGATCTTATTCAGTCTCTTCCTGTCAGCAATGGAGATGCTGCTACCCCAGCACACCACTCCATAAAAAATGGCTGATGCCACCACAGTGTCGAAGAAGGTCCTGAGAAGTGCCCCCTGCACGCCAAAGGACCTGAGTCTCCTCAGGAGATGTAGCCTGCTCTGGCCTTTCCGGTAGAGGGCAGCTGTGTTGTCAGTCCAGTCCAGCTTGTTGTTGAGGTGAACACCCAGGTACTTATAGGACTTCACAATCTCAATGTCCATTCCCTGGATGTTCACAGGCACTGGAGGAGAATGTTTGGACTTGCGGAAGTCCACCACCAGCTCCTTGGTTTTTCCTGCGTTGATCTGCAGGCAGTTCCTCTGGCACCATTCCACAAAGTCCTGCGTCAGTTCTCTGTACTCCCTGTCATCTCTGTCTGTGATGAGGCCGACGATAGCAGAGTCGTCAGAGAACCTTTGCAGGTGACAACTGGCAGAGCTGTACTTGAAGTCCGCAGTGTAGAGGGTGAAGAGAAAGGGAGCGAGGACAGTTCCCTGTGGAGCCCCCGTGCTGCAGACCACCGTGTCCGACTGTCAGCCCTGGGTCCTCACATATTGCGGTCAGTTAGTGAGGTAGTCCAGGATCCAGGTGGTGAGGTGATGGTCCAGGCCCGTGCACTCCAGCTTGTCCTTCAGCAGTGTGGGTTTGATGGTATTGAAAGCACTGGAGAAATCAAAAAACATGATTCTCACAGTGCTCCCAGCATTCTCCAGGTGAGAGAGAGAGCTGTGTAGGAGGTGGATGATGGCATCCTCCACTCCAATGCCAGGTTGGTAGGCAAACTGCAGTGGGTCCATTGAAGAGCTCACCAGGGGGCGCAGGTGGACAAGAAGCAGTCTCTCCAGGGTCTTCATCAGGTGAGATGTCAGCGCCACTGGCCTATAGCTGTTGAGGTCTTTGGGGTGTGGGGTCTTTGGCACTGGCACCACGCGGATGTTTTCCACAGCTGTGGGACTTTCCCTAACCTCAAGCTGAGGTTAAAGATGTACCCGACCACGTCACACAGCTCGTTCGCACAGGTCTTGAGAAGCCTTGAGCTGATGGCATCTGGACCTGCAGCCTTCCTGATCTTCATCCTCCTGAGCTCACTTCTCACCTGGGATGATGTGAATGTGAGGCTGGAGTAAGGGAGAACAGTGCTGGGATGTATGTCAGCAGGAGAGCCATCTGATGGTGGCTGTGTGTTGAGATGAAGGGGGGTGGGTGCAGGAGAGGGGGGAGGGCCAAATGCTGGTAGTGCCAGACAGGGAGAATTCAGCAGTGATGTGCCTGTGGTGGGGGGAGCAGAGATCAAACCTATTAAAGAATAGATTGAGTTCATTCACCCACTTGTGGTCCCCCACAGCCCGGGAGTCGGGCTTCTTGAGTCCAGAAATAGTTTTGAGGCTATTCCAGACTCCACTGACATTATTCTGCTGCAGCTGGGCCTCCATCTTTCTCCTGTAGCTGGCTTTCCCCTCCCGGATCTTCCTTCTCAGCTCCCTCTGCACAGATCTCATCTCCTCCTTGTCACCTGATTTAAAAGCCCTCTTCTTCTCTTTCAGGAGGGCCTTTATATTAGGATTAATCCAGGGTTTGTTGTTGGAGAAACACTGAATGGTCTTGGTGGGTACGGTATTCTCCACACAGAAGTTGACATAGTCAGTTATGAAGTGTGTGAGGCCATCAATATCTTCCGCATAAGGATCACACATCTCCTCCCACAGTGTTGCGCTGAAACAGTCTTTCAAAGCCTCTTCAGACTCTGCAGTCCATTTCTTCACTGTGCGGGTGATGGTTGGTTCTCTGTGTACAAGTGGTTTGTACACAGGCAGGAGATGAACCAGGTTGTGATCTGATCTTCCGAGGGGAGGGAGGGGTAGGGAGTTATATGCCTCCTTTGTATTGGCATAAAACAAGTCCAGTATTTTATTGTCTCTGGTGTGGCAGGTGACATAGTGGGTGAAGGTAGACAGTGTTGAGGATGGAGAAGAATGGTTAAAGTCCCCAGAGATCAGGAGGAGGGCCTGTGGGTGCTGGGTCAGAATCCTGCTCACAGCTGAGTGCAGGACGTCACAGGCAGCGTCAGCAGTAGCAGACGGAGGAACGTACGCAGCTATCGCGATAGCATGCGAGAATTCACGTGGCAAATAGTATGGCCTCATGCTAACGGCTAAGAGTTCAATGTCCTTACAGCAGATTTGCTCTTTAATAGAGATGTGTCCAGAATTACAGCATCTATCATTCACAAATACTGCCAGTCCTCCTCCTTTCCTCTTACCGCTCTCCGCTGTCCTGTCCGCCCATACGAGGTGAAAGCCATCCAGAGAGACGAGTGTATCCGGAGTTAGCGTAGTTAGCCAGGTCTCCGTAAACAGCATGACGCTACACTCACGGAATTCCCTCTCGTGCCGGGTCAGTGCCGCTAACTCATCCATCTTATTTGGAAGAGATCTCACGTTCCCCATGATGACAGAGGGAAGGACTGGTTTGTAGCGTCTTCTCCTCGCACGGCGCTGAGCCCCCGCGCGAGTCCCCCGTCGCTTCCTCCTCAGCTCGCGGGGGGATCTGGGGTCGCTCCCCCGGGAGCGCTGCTGTGCCACTCAGCGCTATCAGCTGATCCCTGGTGTAAACAAAGAGATCCCGCCGGGAGCACGCTGGATCTGCTCTCGCGTGTGAAGTGCGCGAGAAAAACAACATAAAAAGAAGCGCAAACTTCACAAGTTTAATGTCCATGGTGCACAGACAGTGTGAAAAGTACTCAGGTTTAGAAAGTACTATAAAAGAAAGGAAAATAAGAGTAAAAAAAAGCTCACGGTGAGCAAGAGCTGCTGTAACAGGCTGCCACTCGCGCGGCGCCAGAATAATAATACTCCAAAGCTACAATATGCAAAAATGGCTTATAGATTACTTATTAGACTACCATTCATGCTGCACCTATCTCTGTGATTCATATAGAATAATACACTCAACATTAGCTGCATTTCAGATAAGTTTGTCTATTTATACATTTTGTATGTGAAAAATAAAACTGAGAATATGTAACTTTTTATAGGTTGAATAGCTAAATAGATTTGTATTGGCAATGGTTTATATTTGGATTAAATTACAGAACCAAAGCACAGCTCTGCTTGCCTTTTGTACGAATCAAAGATGCCAAAACTCTGCTCCAGTGTGCGTTGGCTCATTTTAACCTCTGTCCATTACTATTAAGGCACACCTCCCATGATAGCACCTCTTCAGAAGCTGCCAAGAAAAACAGTCCTGTTTTAATCATCATCAAGAGCTGTCTTTACTGAGGCCCATGTCTAAGGGCAGGGATATGCGAGTGAATTTACCACTGTTGAGACTCCCTGTGTTATCCCAGTGACTTGGTTTGCTCCTGACCGATGTCCTATAACTACTTAATTTTTTCACAGAGTAATTCAGTGATTGGTTAATGGTTGAATGTCCTGATTGCAGGTGTGTATGATGAGCAATCCTGCAGCAACACTGAGCTGAATCATGCTGTCCTGGCTGTTGGTTACGGCACTGAATGCAACAAACAGGACTACTGGCTGGTCAAGAACAGGTAAACAAACAAGACTTAAAAACAATAAAACATTAAAAAAAAATTCCTGATCACAACTAACATAGAAAAAGTCAATAGAAGCCCAGTACTGTCAGGGACTGTCAGAGGCAGTGTTCATCTCATCAACAACATTGCTGACAAGTTTTTTTTTTTTTTTTTTAATAATTTTGTTAATGACGATGAAAAATCTGCTCTTTAACAAAATGAAAAATGATGACAAAAATTTGATGAAACAGAAATAACCCAAACACACAATATACATTAGTGCTTTATTCATTAGCTTAGCTAACTTGGGAGCACCCCTAATATTTCAGACTTCAACACTTGAAGCCTATGTATAGGCCAGTATTTTAGCTTGTAATTTGATTAATAGATAGTATTCGTGAAACCCAGAAGAAGTGCCCTGTTGCCATACTGTTGACATTCCATCAGCATAATGTGTATGAGGCAGTGCTCCAAAATCAAGATATCAAGAAAATGTCAGTTTGATTGGAGGTGTAGATCTATATTAATCAATAAGCTATCTTTGAGTACTGATTATACATTACATGATGGCATGTCCAGGCATCTATATTTACCATAAATACTGCATCAGTTTATACATTGCAGGAGCTAAAAGCATACAAATCAATAGACTCATAATGGAGCAGTGGAGTTACTGACTATCTGAAACCCCTCCTTTCAACCTAACCCTCTACAAATTCCCATTCCTACCTTCTATTTCCTATGACAAAGTCAGCTAATCAGGCACGAGACTCTGCAAAGTGATGTAAGAATTGCTACGAGCCATTCTGCCAAAGACCTTAACTCATCTCTCTGAATTCTCTGAATTGTTCAATTTTGCCACAGCTCCACTGGAGGTAAACAAGGCCTGCCCTCTGCCGCCATTTCTCAACCACTTTCAGCTCACACAGGCGTACAACACACACACTACGCACGCCTTATGCAATAACATCACCCCGGCAACGCGCATTCTACACGATGACTTCACCCCATCAACCCCATTCCAAGTGGCGACACAGCCACCATGGCTCCACTCTATTGCCATGGTCTGTTTCCTTCATCCCTATTTTTTCTCCTACTTTCCCCTTGGAATTCCACTTACCAAAGCCTGATATTCGACGTATCCTCAAGGCAAGGACTCACATCTGTATCCATGCCCTAACACTCTCTTGGTTTCATCACTCCTTCATTATTGACATCGGTGAACCTCACTCTGTGAAATGCCTCAATCAAAATGTCTACTGTGAACATGACCAACAACCCTAGAATAACCAGTCTGACACATTGTGTTTGTTGTCAAAGCCTCAAGCCAAGAACAGTGGGTATGATGGTCTCCTTGGGCAAATAGGCCTCATTATAGGAAATTAATCATTTCGTCTTGCCTTCAGCTACACATCATCATACACTTCAGCCCACTCCTACCAGTGCTACCAGAATCTAGAACCACATCATTACCTTCTCAAGCATCATACATCCCTCCTGCAACCCAGCATCCTCATTTTTATCTTATTACTCCCCAGTCATCTCTTCTTTTCAAACCTATAAGTGACCCCATGGACATTGGCACTTGCATCTCAACAGCACCAAACAGACCCCATTGTCGTCCTTCTAGCATTCTCCATTTTGATCCTAATCCACAGACCTAGCCCCTCTTTGCCATTCATCTCACTCAGGTGTCTCTCAAGTGTATCTCTTTTTCAACTACTCCCACTCACCCCCGGGTCACCATTGCATCTTACCGCAGAGGAAATCCCTTCAGTATTGCATGGAATAACATTCCTTTGTTTGTGAATATGCTGCCATTGCCCCTGGGAACCTACAGCTCTTTTAATCATTTCAACTGAACTTCTGCAGTGATCAAGTGATCCCCATCCACCGCCATAACTGAACAACCGTTCTTTTGCCCATAGGATACTCCTTGCCAAAATACCTCCCGGAGTGATCAAAGCATCATCCAGCTGTCTCTGTCTATCATCGCACCCATCACACACACAGCCGTTACCTTCTAGTAATCTAATCTGGTGTCAAACAGAAGAGGACGATCTCCCCTGTTGAGTCCTGGATCCTCTCAAAGTTTCTTCCTCATGCCCCTGGGGTTTTTTCCTTGCTCCTGTCGCCATCGACTTGCTCATCAGGGGTTCAGACCCAGATGTCCATTTAGCAGTTCACAACTATGTTACTGTCAAGCTATTAAACTGAATAAAATGTATCTGCTCCATCTTTCCTCTCATCTTAAAACCTTAATAGCAACACACTTCTTTACCCCAAATGCCAAGAAAACAGCCAAATTAAGTAGACCTCTTTTCCTGCTTCGGCTAAACTCCTCCATCAAACCATACAAGGCCTGGTGCACTCAGATAACCAAATGCTGCAACACAATGTTCGTCCTGAATCCAGCAATATCCTGCTGGCGTACACTCATAACAAGTTCTTTAACGAAGATGCTACAGCATGAATTCCATAATTAGGAGGGACATCCACATATTTTGGCTATATGGTGTATATTATACATTTGTTGAGTTACAGTTTTCATCGACTAAAAGGTTAATGTTGTCATCAACTAAACTATTAACAATTACAAATCTGTTTAAATATTTATCTATTACAAATACACAGACAATTATTCTGAATATCCAAAACTGACAGCAATTTATGTTGCAGCTGGGGTGTTGAGTGGGGTGAAGGAGGCTACATCAAGATGGCCAGGAACAAGAATAACCAGTGTGGGATAGCCACAGATGCCGTCTACCCTGAGGTTTAAAGGTAGGACTTCATCATCTTGGATCCAGTACTCATCCACAGAGATCTACACTGCTGAGTTCAGTTCCAGCTGCCCTTTATAGATGGTCATAAAGATCAAGTGGTCAGAAGTTCTGGACAAGGTCTTGTCACCTAAAATGTCTGAACTACAATTGAATTGTATTCATTTCAATTTCAAATCATGTGCATCTGCATAAGCACATCCTTGGTGAAGGGTTTGCTATTAAACATCTCTGTGTCTGATAACTGCGTGCTCCTAATGACCTACAACAACCAAAATCGGAGGACCTCTGCATTAGAAAGTTCACTTCATTTACTTGGATGTAATCAGTCTAAGATTAGAACAGGTTTTATTGATTCCAGTTGAAACTGAACTCTGCAGGTCAGGTGATCTCCTGGAGCTGGGATAGGATCTCCAGAATTAGAACTGACTACATCAATGTTTTATCTCTAACTATAACACAACATTAAGGATGAGTCTGTGTACCTTCTGTTTATTAGATTTTCATTTCAAAAACTAGTGTTAAAAAATGGGAAATGGGTCGCTACTAGTTTTGTTATAGTCTGTGAAAAAATCCCTGTCTCCCCATCACTCAGCGTGATGCTAGCCATCTTAGTGTCAGCTGATGTAAAGGAACTGGTGGTCATTGTTCTCCTCTGAATGCATTCAGGCGTCCAAAGACATGTTAGCTGCAGTTCGTAAAGATGTGGTGACTCTTCACAGGTCTTGGAGGAAGCCTGTGTCTGCCTTTGCCCTGCTAGCTCTGGTGGTATCATATGATTGGGGAGTCCTAGCTAGTGGGTGGAATTAGATATGACTAAACTGGGGAGAGAAGTGGGAAAAAATATATATACACACACATATAAAAACATCATATAGTCTACTATAATGCCAAAACTAGGCCTGTCCTCTCAACACTCATGCTTGATCTTTCCTGTTTTCATCATTTTTAACCACAACCGCCTGATTTCTGAGCTTCTGCGACATACGTTCACTCTGCACATGTATTTCCAGTTCATGTGAAAAAGTAAAATACAACCCTTTATTCCATTCTTGTTTGCTTGTTGTTTAATTTTATGGTTCATTTGTAAAATTGTAAAACAAAGCCACTTCTTGTTTTTTTCCACTGACAATAACAGAACCATGAGAATCAACCCATTTCCTGTTTTTCAGTGTTGGTGTTAAAATAAAAAAAATGAATTCAACAGAAGATACACAGACCAGGGTGCAGAAGTTCATGTGGGTCAATTCTGTTAAATGTTGTTTTTCTACAGATTGGAGAGACAGAACTTGAAAACCACATGGAGCAGGTTCCAGTCTGATCTGATCACCATTCATTTACACATGGAGCAAAAGCAGATGCTGTTTTTTTTTTACTTTATCTTTGTTTTTAAACCACCTTTTTTCTTTGTCAGTTGTCACCTTTTGTAGTGTCTTAGCTTCAGTTAAACCACTACAGTGCTTCAATCCTTTCTATAAAATAAGCAGTGCCTAAAAAATTGTAATCAGTGTGAAATATTACTGTTTCGTACTAATAACAATGTCTAATAAACTCTCAGCATTCACAAAATTCACTATATGTGTATTGACTTTGCTTATTGCTGTGTTTACAGTCAACAAAATATTTTGAGTTTATTTTGAGTTTATGACCAGTGAAGTCCTTATTGATCAGCCTTACATCACTACATTACATTATCAGAACATTTATGTCCAGCTGTATATAATCCAGGTGATAATAATAGAATTGATAGATAAACATTCATCTGTCGAAGAATGAGGGAGAGTGTGAGGGGAGCTTGACCCTTTCTTATTTCTCCCATTACACCAAAAATGCACTGCTAAATGCTAGAGTTCACCTGCAAGTGGGTCCTCAATGAATGAGGGTGAAAAGAGCCTAATATGAAATATTAAACATGCTTGTATCCATCTATTAAACATCATGATGGCAAAAGTCCTGAAAAGAGAAAGCAGGAAAGCTGAATGTAAACTTAAAATGCACTATGACCTCTATGAACAAAAGCGGCTTTGTACTTTTTACTTTTAAAATATTAAACTATTAGTCTGACTATCAACACCACATAGTCAGATAATGAAACCATGCTGTCTGTCATTTTGAGCACCTACCTTGTATTTACACTCTTTGTCCATTTAATCAGCTCCACTTACCATATAGCTGTGCTGTGTCTGATCCACTCACCAGCGCAACACACACTAACACACCACCACCATGTCAGAGTCACTGTAGTGCTGAGAACCCACCACACAAATAATACCTGCTCTGTGGGGGTCCTGACCATTGAAAAACAGGGTAACAAAGTATAAACAGATGGACTACAGTCTGTAACTGTAGAATTACAAAGTGAAACTATATGGAGTGGAGGAGGTGTTCTTAATAAAGAGCTCAATTAGTGTAGTTTAATTTTTTATGTCACAATTGAATTCAATTAATCATTTCAACTGAACTTCTGCAGTGATCAAGTGATCCCCATCCACCGCCATAACTGAACAACCGTTCTTTTGCCCATAGGATACTCCTTGCCAAAATACCTCCCGGAGTGATCAAAGCATCATCCAGCTGTCTCTGTCTATCATCGCACCCATCACACACACAGCCGTTACCTTCTAGTAATCTAATCTGGTGTCAAACAGAAGAGGACGATCTCCCCTGTTGAGTCCTGGATCCTCTCAAAGTTTCTTCCTCATGCCCCTGGGGTTTTTTCCTTGCTCCTGTCGCCATCGACTTGCTCATCAGGGGTTCAGACCCAGATGTCCATTTAGCAGTTCACAACTATGTTACTGTCAAGCTATTAAACTGAATAAAATGTATCTGCTCCATCTTTCCTCTCATCTTAAAACCTTAATAGCAACACACTTCTTTACCCCAAATGCCAAGAAAACAGCCAAATTAAGTAGACCTCTTTTCCTGCTTCGGCTAAACTCCTCCATCAAACCATACAAGGCCTGGTGCACTCAGATAACCAAATGCTGCAACACAATGTTCGTCCTGAATCCAGCAATATCCTGCTGGCGTACACTCATAACAAGTTCTTTAACGAAGATGCTACAGCATGAATTCCATAATTAGGAGGGACATCCACATATTTTGGCTATATGGTGTATATTATACATTTGTTGAGTTACAGTTTTCATCGACTAAAAGGTTAATGTTGTCATCAACTAAACTATTAACAATTACAAATCTGTTTAAATATTTATCTATTACAAATACACAGACGATTATTCTGAATATCACAATTGAATTCAATGGACCAAAAACCTCTAGAGGACGCACCGGCACCTTAAATTATTGACATATTGTCTCAACACACTGCCGTCTGACACTTTTTCTGATCTGCAGAAGAGTCCTTGATTGGTTCAGGTCTCATTTAGAAGGTCAGAGTTAGCTTCTCACCTTGGCAGTTATGAATCAGATACCATGTCCATGGCGGAATCCCCCAGGAGTCAGTTCTCTAAACTCTTCTGTTCAATCTCTATATGCTCCTATTGTGCCGAATCCTACAGAACAACAGATTACCACAGTTATGCAGATGATACACAGATATATCTGTCCAATAGACTCACTGTGTTAATGTCTGGAGTGCATAAATAATTGGATTAGGCATTTTTTTCTTTCAAATTCAAATTCAAATTAAATAAGGCAAAAAGAGACTTCATATCAGCGAATGCCTCAATTTCTGAGCTCTAAAAACCAAAGACCAAGTCTAAAATCTTGGTGATCTAAGAGGCGTAGATCTCATCTTCCCTGGCTATGTCAAAGCAATCACCAAAACAGGCTTCTACCACCTTAAAACAGCCAGAATCAAAGGTTTGGTGTTTCAACAAGACCTAGAGAAGCTCATTCATGCTTTTATTTCCAGCAAGGTGGTCTAATGTAATGGTCTCTTAAATGGAAAAAAGACCATTAAACAGCTGTTGCTCATTTAGAATGATGCTGCTTGAGTTTTAACCAGTACCAGGACAGCAGAGCACATAACTCCAGTTCTAAAATGCTTACACTGGCTTTCAGTTATTTACAGAATAGTTTTTAAAGTTCTGATACTGGTCTATAAATCACTGAATGGTTTCGGCTCAGAACACATCTCTGTCTCTGTATCCATGAGTCTCTGAGTTCCATGGATACAAGACAGCTAATAGTGCCCAAGAGTCCAAACCTAACATGGGAAAGCAGTATTTAGCTGTCATGCATACAATTGGGACAAACTGCCAGAATGAGCACCAAATGTAGCAATTTAGGTAGGTTACAGCATACAGACAGTATGAAATGCTAGACCACAGCAGATAAACGTCATAATATAAGAATGCAGCTCATCCCAATAAGTGTCATATACAACTCCCAATCTGCGCACCAGAGGTCACCCTCTTCTAAATACTAACCGTTGTCTTCATCAGCTCTCCTACAAACACTCTCTCTTACTCCACTCTTAGTGAAGCATTGTTAGTGTCACACTACAATCCTGAGCATTTTCCCCTTTGATTCATTTGAATGTGTTTTTAAAATGTTGGCTAGCATTTTTGACTGTTTATTTTGGACTTTTTCTTGTATTTTTCTGGTACCTTTGTGTGTTTTTTAGCCTCTGCTCTGACTCTGTGTTTGGGCTGTGTTTTTATTATTGTTTCTGTTCAAAAAATGCCTGTTTATGGATCCAACAAACCTGTGTGGTTCTGCATTGTTACAGAATGCTTCACCGGATTCAGCAAGCCTGCAGGAACTGCACTCAGCAGTAGCTGCTCAAAGAAAACCTCTTGGATCACCTGAACAATAATTAATGTACCTTAATGATACCATGGAAGAGTTAGTCCATGTTCTGCAGTCTGAAACCTGCATCAACACTTTCGTCCAATCCCTCTCTGGCTCCACCGACCCACTCAACCACACACATTGAAAACACCTCCTTTCTCCCACACTTGACCATCCTTTGATGTATCCCCTGGACAATACAATGGCCCTTTTAAGCAGTGCAAGATGTATTTTAGTTAAA